ATGAAATTTATGATGTTCTAATATACATCGATTAGGTTTAACAATACAATTGTAATAAATTTTGATGAAAGCCATTTTTCTCTGGTAAATAGCTAACTAATTATTAGATGATAGAATATTTGAAAAGAAAAAGAGATCTTTATCAATTTTACTTTTTAAAATAAGATCTATGGTTTTGTTTATAAACAAAAAAAAAAAGAGAATGAGACGTTTTTCTTTTCATATTAATTTTGTCTAATATGATCAAATCATCAATATTTCCATTCAGAATTGTCAAACTTTCTAATTTACTAAGAAGAATGTTGATTTTTAAACATAACTTCTTCGATTTTATATGAATAAGAACAATAATTAGCGAGAAAAATAATATTAAAGATAAGAATCAAACAAACCATCCGAATTAAAAGTAAATAAAAAAAATATGTTTGATTTTGCTATGCAGAAACATTAATAATATTCCTTAATTCCCTTGTTTTTTAATTCATCTAGTCTGTTTCGTTTCGCACAATAGACGAGAAAAAAAAAGTATTCATCCTTAAATTAATTAGACTACTCTTTGACGCTATATTTTTTCGGCGAGATCATCTATTCATTTTAGTGAATGATAGTAATAGAGATGAACAAACAATGAATATGCACATATATATATATATATATATATGCATAATAAGAAAAGTATTAGTGTCATACTCAACATGAATCAATCCAATATTAATCTTCTTGATTTACCTAATGAAATATTATTTATTATTTTAAAAAAACTCGATAATATAGATGTACTTTATTCATTATTAGGTATTGATAATCAACGACTTGATACTATAATACAAGAAAATATTTTTACTAATACTCTTAATTTTGTATTAACAACATTAACTGATAATATATATTCGATTACTGATCCAATACTTAATCGATTTTGTATAAATATCTTACCAAAAATTCATAACAATGTTAAATCTCTTATTCTTGATTCAATATCTATGGAAAAAATTCTTCTTGCTGGTGATTATCCTAATTTAACTCAAGTTAAAATTTTTAATTTTAATGAGAAAATTCTTTCACGTTATTTTACAGGTAAATAACTCAATATACTAATCAGAGTAAAGATTTCGATGAAAAACTCTTCTATAAATTAGATAAGATAATATCTATTTATTTTTTTTTTATTTAGATCAATCACCTTTTCGACGTATTTTTCAAGAACAAATAACAGATCTTATTCTTATATTTGAAAAGAATATTAATAAAATATTAGAAGAATTTAATACAATCAATTTATATACATATGTTTTTAATTTCTTCATAAATCTTAAATATTTATCTATTACTGGATTATTTCCATATCCTTTTCCGCATTTAAATTGTCGTCAATTACCTATAACTATTTGTTTATGTTCAACTCTTTACAAATTATCTCTTGATGTCCCTAGTCTTGTAGATTGTTATGCTTTACTTGATGGTCGTCTTAAACAATTAACTATATTAATTCTTAATATTGCTATGCTAAACTGTCGTATATCGAATATTTATAATATGGTAAGTTTTATTCTTTATATATATATATTAATCGTTTTTTTGTTTATTTTTTATTTTATCGTAAAATAAAACTTATTGTTCACAGTTGTAATTGTTATATCTATTAGATATAGATTATTTATTAATGAGTTACTTTTTATTTTAATTAACCATAATTAAATAGTTTTAAAATGAATGTTGATCTAATTAGAGAAACTGTTTTATATTTATTGATCATGTCCTTTTCTATTCAAAAGGTGATGTTTCAAAAATAAGACTGAAAATAATTATCATCAAATATTTTGAAAATAAATTTAGTTCAAGAAATTAGTATGAGATCAAACTTAGAATCAAAAGCAATAAATAAAGTAAAAGATTTGTAAATAATAGATGAGAATAGAAAGATTATTAAATTATAAAAAACAGTAGATGGAAAGAAGTTTAATTTGTTGTCAAACGATAAGTTGTTAAATGAAAATTTAAATATAAACAACAGTTGTTTAATTCAATTTAGTGATGATTTAATGTTATGGTAATAATCATGTTTATCTCTATAAATGATTTGTTTTCTATACAAATAATATTTTTCTCATAGATAACTATAATAATATGGTTGACAATCATTCTAGAAGAAGATCTATATATCATAGAATAGAAGAAATATTTTTGAAAATGCATTAAATAGAAAATCAAACGTTTTCAATCAGTTATTCATCTGAGTTTTTTCTTATTTTTTATATATAATTATTTATTTATTTATAAATATTGTTTTATATTTTCTAGGATGATCTACCTAATTTGAAGTGTTTCTCTTTAAAAGGATTTAATTGCTTTATTGACTCATATGATAATAAAATTTTACCTCTTTTGCGTCGTATGTTAAATCTTGAAGAATTAACTTTATATTTTACTGTTGTAAATCGAACTACATTTATCGATGGTACTTCTATTTATAATGAAATTCTTGTTTATATGCCACGACTTAACAAGTTTAACTTTGGTATTTGTACTGAGATCATAGTAATAAACAATTTAATTCATCGTTTATCTAAAGATGATATTCAACGAACTTTTACTAACATTATATTTCAACAAGTGGAATGTATTGTCACTTACTCATGTCGTAGAGGTAAATGTTATGTCTTTTCATTACCATTCATGTTTAATGATCTCGATTATATTGGTAATAGATTTCCAACTATTATTTTTACTTATGTTCGAAGTTTAAAACTGGAGGATGAAGTTCCATTTGAACATGAATTTTTCATTCGAATTGCTTGGTCTTTTCCTTTACTTGAAAAATTATCTATTATGAATCTTAAACGACAATCATCAATTGCAAAAAAATTGAACTGTGATGATAATCAGTTATATTCAATTGTTAAATTTCCTTATCTTACTTCAATTTTTTTTTGTGATGTTCATAATGATTATGTTGAACAATTTCTCAATGATACAAAAACACATTTACCTTGTCTAACTAAATTAACAATCGTTTGTAATCAATTACAACTTATGACAGAAAATTTTACAAGAGATAGAACACGACTCAATTGTATCAATGTGAGACAATTATTAAATCTTGGTGAACCAATAGTACATTCAGAAGATTTCTATGTTTATTTTCCTTTGTTGAAACCTAGCGTTTTTTTCTGAATAAACTAATAAAATAAATAATGAATACATATTAAGAGTATTTTTTTCAATCAAATCATATTGAACAACAATTAATAATTATAAATGCTTTATTAACTCTGGATTTTTTTTGTCTACAAAAAATGTAAAGTTTCTATATCTTTTTGTTGTGTATAACATATATCAATAAAGATTCGTTTATTTATTTCATATATTTGAAATAGTTGAATAAATAATAAAAACAAATCGGTTGTGTATTCATAATCAATGATATATAATTGTAAAAGTAATATATTGTGTCATAGAAATTATTCGTATTAGATAGAATAGAGTCAAGTGCTTTATGTGTATGATGATTAGATAGAGATCAGCGGTTCCAAAAAAAAAATGAAACCGAGAACCGAAGCAGAATGGACTTTTTTAAATTTCTTGGGATCAAAGCCGCGGAAAAAATACTTTGGAATCGCTAAAGGAGCTGGACCCGTTAAACCATCAGATAGATACAAAAAAATTTAAATTTATTTTGAGAAATCTTGGTTTTTTTTATTCTTGAGGTTAAAGATTTCAGTATAGAGGTAGTCATAAAAGTATCCGGACACCGAACTGTACTTTTTTCCTATTGTTCGATTTGTGCAACAATAATAAAGAATAAACTTTTCCTTCTTGATAACGAGCTTAAACGTTGATCCTTATAGGGAATAGAATACCGATTGAGGGTTATCAAATGCTGAAGAAAGAATATATTTTTTCTTTATCAAAGGAAAAAATTTTAATATTTGTACTCTTGTTATATAAAATGACAAATACAATGAAAGAACTAATAGGTGTCCGAATACTTTTTGGTCTATCTGTGTATATATATAACATTATTTTGTTTAAGTAATGTAATGTCTAGCGTCTTTTGGTTTCAAGAATCAAAGAATGAAAATTTTTCGAAATAGATTTAAAATTTTCGTATCTATTTGGTCCCAGATCGAACTCACTCTGTTGGATCCGAAACTATCCGACAGTTTCCGATAGTCGGATTGTATCGGATTCGGACTGTCAGAAACCATCATTATCCGTTAATTTCCGACGGTTTCCGATGTCGGATTCTGACGATAGGATTCGATGAGATCCGGCCAAGGGAGAAAAAGAAGACTTATGCACTTCAGAAGTACGGAGGTACGAAGAACTACCGAGAAGTATGGAGAAGTACAAGAAAATTCAGAAAAGTACATAGAAGTACTTTGAATCAAGATGAAATATATATATGTACACAAGTATGCTTTGAAGGTCAATTATCTTTAATTTTAAGAAAAAACCTAGAGAAGTCCAACTTCAGTGAATTCTTTACTTTCAAGTCACTTAAGCACTCACTGACATACTGACTACATTGTTATAATATTTATTGGCACTGTGAGTACACTGATACTGACATCCACTGACTACAATTATCGCTGCTGACTGCAGAATTGACAGTTACCATGACATCGGTGCTCAATGAAAATTGACCATATTGGCATCGAGGCTCGGTTAAATATCCGCATTCCGATATTGATTTTCGCTGACAGCAATTCACATCAAAATGTTATGATACACATCGAATATAATATATGGATTCATACAACGTTTTCGTTGGATGAGTGCATGGCGGCGTAATAGATTCTCACAATTTTTTCTTACAGTAGAATCTATTTAACGTCCCATTTTCTTAGTCAATAAATAACTCTTCTTTCGCTATCTGCATAAACTACACAGATGTGAA